GTGTAGTGATGTCAGCAGTCACCCGTGAGACTCTCTATATCAAGAAATATGACTTCAACTAATCCAGGAAGTTAAAAATGAGCCTCTACCACATCTGTCTTTGTTAGCCTATCATTGAAAGCCTTGGCCAACTAATAAGACCAGGAAAACTCAAATAAAAAAATGTTACCGTACTGGGACACAAGAATGTAATTATTACCAAAATATCATCAAAGCTAAACAGAAACAAATAATGGCTGTACAACACATTGTGGACACTAATCATCATTTTTGCAAGATATATATATATATATATATATATATATATATATATATTTTTTTTACATTTTCTGTGCATGTGATCACTGTGACCAATCACAGCTAATGACACAATTGTATACAATGGATGGCATGAAAGGAAGCAATCCATTGTTTACAACTGTCATGTGACCTGCTGTGATTGGTCACAACAGGTCACATGGTACTGGCAATGGGCCAGTACACAGATCTGTCATTGGCTGTGTCTGAGGTACACAGCCAGTAAATGATCTTGCCACAGCACAGCCATGCACACACAAGGCGCGATCCGGGAAGGACTTCATATAACGCCTACCCGGATCGACGAGAGTCCCTCCCGGCCATCATTTTCCTATTGGCAGGGCAGGAAGTGGTTAAGTGGTTAAAATCTGCGCCTAGCAGCACTAGTCGTTGGTTCAAATTCCAGCCATAAAACTACCTCCCTAGAGCTTGTATGTTCTCACTGAGTGCCTGCTCATATACGCTATATTGACTAAAGTATTTGGACACCCCTCCAAATCATTGGGTTCAGGTGTTCCAATCACCTGCATGGCCACAGGTGTATAAAATCAAGCACCTAGGCATGCAGACTGCTTCTATAAACATTTGTGAAAGAATGGGTCGCTCTCAGTAGCTCCGTGAATTCAAGCATGGTACTGTGATAAGTTGCCACCTGTGCAATAAGTCCATAGACACACTCCTAAACCTTGTGAACAGTCTTCCCAGAAGAGTTGAAGCTGTTATAGCTGCAAAGGGTGGGCCAACTCAATATTGAACCCCACAGACTAAGACTGGGAAGCCATTAAATTTCATGTGCATGTAAGGGTAGGTGTCCCAATAGTTTTGCCAATAAATTGTATATGTGGATTGGATGTGGTTTGAAGTGCATCCAATCTGCATGACATGTGAAAAAACATTGCTATGGTGCCTGTTCACATACTGTATGTCTGGTGCACTGGCAGTGTGGTTTGGGTCTGGTACGGATTTGAAGGGGAACCCCACGCCAAAATGTAAAAAAAAACCCTGCTGACAGCTGAAACATTAAAGAATGCTTTCACTACTTAATAATATAACTCATGTGGTATGTTAGTAGCTGTGCGTTAATTTACTGCATACTCAGATGCAGTAATATACTGCTTAGTGAATTGTCCCTGTTCGAAGTTCACGGTTGAACCTTTGGTAAGTTCAAATGTTCAACCGCAAACCGAACAGGGGGGTGTTTGGCCCATCACTAGTCACTGACACTGAGGGGTCCAGAAGCATCTAGGACAGTCAATTTCAAATGTGCCCAGACCCACATCATGCCCTTACTGAGTTGGGAAAGAAAGGGGGGCAGCAGTCTGTTTGCTGGGCACTGCAGGATGGCTGAGGGGCTCTCTTGGCTCTTACTGTGGAGGCAAAGTGGTCTCTCTCTCTTTGTGGAGGCAAAAGCGGTCTCTCTCTCTCTCTCTCTCTCTCTCTCTCTCTCTCTCTGTGGGGGCACAAGTGATCTCTCTCTCTCTGTGGGAGCACAAGCAGTTTCTGCCTGTGGGGCACAAGTGGTCTCTCTCTCTGGTGAGGGTACAAGCAGTGTCTCTCTGTGGAGGCACAAGCGGTCTCTCTTTATTTGGGAGCACAATCAGTCCCTCTCTGTGGGGGCATGAGCAGTCTCTCTCTCTCTCTGTGGGGGCACAAGTGGTCTCTCTCTCTGGTGAGGTTACCAGCAGTCCCTCTCTGTGGAGGCACAAGCAGTCTCTCTTTTATTTGGCGGCACAAGCAGTCTCTTTTTGTGGGAGCACAATCAGTCCCTCTCTGTGGGGGCATGAGCAGTCTCTCACTCTCTCTCTCTGTGGGGGCACAAGTGGTCTCTCTGTGGAGGCACAAACAATCTCTTTCTTTCTCTCTAGGGGCACAAGTGTTCTTTTTGTGGACTCACAAACAATCTCTTTCTTTCTCTCTGGGGGCACAAGCGGTCTCTCTGTGGAGGCACAAACAATCTCTTTATTTCTCTCTAGGGGCACAAGTGTACTTTCTGTGGAGGCACAAGTGATCTCTTTCTTTCTCTGGGGGCACAAGCGGTCTCTCTGTGGAGGCACAAACAATCTCTTTCTTTCTCTCTGGGGGCACAAGCGGTCTCTCTGTGGAGGCACAAACGATCTCTTTCTTTCTCTCTGGGGGCACAAGCGGTCTCTCTGTGGAGGCACAAACAATCTCTTTCTTTCTCTCTGGGGGCACAAGCGGTCTCTCTGTGGAGGCACAAACAATCTCTTTCTTTCTCTCTGGGGGCACAAGCGGTCTCTCTGTGGAGGCACAAATGATCTCTTTCTTTCTCTCTGGGGGCACAAGTGTTCTTTCTGTGGAGGCAAAAGCAATCTCTTTCTTTCTCTCTGGGGGCACAAGTGTTCTTTCTGTGGAGGCACAAGTGATCTCTTTCTTTCTCTCTGGGGGCACAAGCGGTCTCTCTGTGGAGGCACAAACAATCTCTCTCTTTCTCTCTGGGGGCACAAGCGGTCTCTCTGTGGAGGCACAAACGATCTCTTTCTTTCTCTCTGGGGGCACAAGCGGTCTCTCTGTGGAGGCACAAATGATCTCTTTCTTTCTCTCTGGGGGCACAAGTGTTCTTTCTGTGGAGGCAAAAGCAATCTCTTTCTTTCTCTCTGGGGGCACAAGTGTTCTTTCTGTGGAGGCACAAGTGATCTCTTTCTTTCTCTCTGGGGGCACAAGCGGTCTCTCTGTGGAGGCACAAACAATCTCTTTCTTTCTCTCTGGGGGCACAAGCGGTCTGTCTGTGGAGGCACAAGCGATCTCTTTCTTTCTCTCTGGGGGCACAAGTGTTCTTTCTGTGGAGGCACAAGCAATCTCTTTCTTTCTCTGTAAGGGCAAAAGTGGGGTTGCTAGTCTTGCCTAGAGCGCAAAATAGTCTAGCACCGGCCCTGCTCATCTCTCCATATTTTTACTGTCAGTGGGAGGGAGAAATGAGCTCTTTGTCAAAGAGGAATGCACACAGTGCTACATACAGTATCTATAGCCAAGGCTTTATTTTTGTTTTGGATAGAGGAAGGAGTAGAAGCTCTGCCAGGTCCACACTGAGCTTTACCCTCTATATTTGCCCTGCTGACCGTTATCACTGAGATGCAAAGTGATGGCAAAATGCAAAGGGGGTATTTACTAAAACTGCAAGGTGCAAAATCTGGTGCAGCTTTGCATGGTAGCTAGTCAGCTTCCAGGTTTTATTGACAAAGTTTAATTGAACACGCTGAAGTTAGAAGCTGATTGGCTACCACACACAGCTGCACCAGATTCTGAGTGCTCCAGTAGTAAATCTCCCCCCCCCCCAAAATGTCATGGTTGTCACCAGAACAGGAGGTCATATAATTGGTGACAGCTGTCTGAGAGGTGATTTCCCTTCATTTTTGAGAGTTTTCCTCTCACTACCACTTAACATTATGTTTCCAGAAAAGAAGTGAAGGGAAATCCCAAAAATTAAAAAAGTAGGTCAAAACATTAACTGATTGATATTTAGTTTGCTTATGCACTGCATACCATAAACAATTGCCATTATTTAAAAAAACTATGTCATTCTTTGTTGTATGTTGTTGCTGCTGATCTCCTGGCAATTCTCCTAGCCTCTTTCCAGCCACTTCCTGTCTGCAAGCAGGTCGAGTGCAAGCTGCCTGTTATTGCTCAAAGTGGCTTCCTGATGGTGACAGTGGTGGGACAATCTTGCACAATCAGCATGACTGTTTAGTCTCCACTGGAAGTACAGGGTAAGGGTGACCAGCAGGAGACAGAAAGAGACAAAGCATGAATGTTCTGTAATGGCAAATTCCCGGGCAAGCACTTCCCTGTGGTCCCCAGCTGTGTGTTTACATTACAGCAGCCAGGGATTCACAGGCAAACTGACCAAATTAGGCCAAATAGTTTGCCAGGTCCACAATCTCCAACAGGCAAATCACAAGTCTGTTAAGGGTTATACCATGCATAGTACCATTTTGAGTTGTCCTTTTAAATTGCTTTTCTCATATCCACAAATATAATAATTGCCGAAGGAGTTACCTGTTCATTTGCCAGAAATGCACTCAGTTCTTAAAGCGAAGTTCCAGCTGAAAAAAAAATCAACAGCTACAAAAACTGTAGCTGATTACTTTTAACCACTTTTCTACAGGGCACTTTCAAACCCTTCCTGTTCAGGCCAATTTTCAGCTTTCAGAGCTATTGCATTTTGAATGACAATTGCTCAGTCATGCAACACTGTACCCATATTAAATTTTTATACTTTTTTTGAGACAGAGCTTTATTTTGGTGGTATTTAATCACATCTGGGTTTTTTATTTTTTCCTAAACAAACCAAAAACCACTGAAAATTTTGAAAAAAAAAAGTTTTTTTCTTTGTTTCTTTTATAAAATGTTGTGAATTAGTAATTTTTCTCCTTCACTGATGTGCACTAATGAGGCTGCAGTGATGGGAACTGATAGACTGCCCTGATGGGTGCTGATAGGTGGCGCTGATGGACACTGATGAGGAGGCACTGGTAGGTGGCACTGATGGGCATTGACAGGCATCACTTGTGGGCATTGACAGACATTACTGATGGCCACTGAAAGGCAGTACTCATATATGGCACTGACAGGCGGCACTGATAGGCAGCACTGTCAGGCGGGGCGGCACTGACTGGCACTGTTAGGCGGCACTGACTGGAACTGTTAGGCAGCACTGATGGGCACTGATAGGCGGCACTGACTGGCACTGATAGTTGTCACTGAAAGGCAGCTCAGATGGGCACTGATATGTGACATTGATTGCACTGGTAGGCACTGATATGTCGCATTGATGTGCACTGATGGGCACTGACAGGTGGCACTGATGGACACTGACAGGTGGCACAGGTGGCACTGATGGGGCTACACTGATCATCAGAGCACTGATCATTAGTGCCCTGATGATCAGTATAGATGTCCCTTCTGAGGAATGCCGATTACCGGCTCTCCTATCCTCATGAGCTGTCAGCGTGACAGTTCATGAGGAGAGGAATGCCGATAACCTGAATTTCCTTATTTACATGCGATCAGCTGTGATTGGAGACAGCTGATCACATGACAGAGCCGAAGTCATCAGCTCTTTCCGCTGATCGGTGATCCATTGTGTCCCAGGGACACATCGCACCACCGATCGCAGCGCTGCCCACCCCCAGGGACGTGCACATATGGTTAGAGTGGGAGGACATCATAAGACATCCTCCCAGAACAAGACATCCACCTCCCATCTGTCATTTCCTTATATGGCATGTGGGAGGTGGTTAAAATACAGTCACTTACTTGTCCCTTGGTCCAGCGGTGTCCTCACCACGGTTAGTTTCACCGGCCGCCTTCTCTCCCCAGCCGATTTCTCTCCCCGGCGCCAGCATCTTCAGTATGAGCACCCAGCTGTGGTAGCTTGCAGCTTCACAGCCGGGTGCCCACTGTGCATGTGCAAGAAGCGCTGCGCCTGGTAAATGACCCAGTAGTCTCCGGGGACCTGTCATGTCCCAGAAGACTATGGGGAGGGAGGGGGGGAAGACAACTTCCAATCGCCTTAGGCGATCGCAGCGGAAGTGGGAGCAAGTACCTGTCAAATTTGGGTACCCGCTCCTCCCCCCATACATGAATCATCTGCCTTTACTCAAGATGGCCACTACCAGAAATGCTGGGGGGTGTTTTTCAAAATGGTTTCTCAGCAAAATAAAACAGGGAGACATGGATGGATAAACAAAAAAGACTGAAAATTTAAAAGAAAATTATATTTTCTAATTTCAGTTATAAAAAATATCCAGTAAACTCAAAGTTAGTCATATATTTAGGCCAAAATGTATTCTGCTACATGTCTTTGGTAGAAAAAAAACCCAATACGTGTATCAATTTGTTTCTGTGAAAATTGTAACGTCTACAAACTATGGTATATATATTGGAGTTTACACAACTTTTACTTTCTGACTGCCTATCATATTTCTTGAGGTGCTAAAAGACCCCAACAATACAACCCCCTCCCCCCAAATAACCGCTTTTTGGAAAGTAGACACCCCAAGGAGTTTGCTGAGAGGCTTGTTGTGTCCATGGAAGATTTTATTTTTTGCCCCAAATATTTGGAATATGACAACATTTTTTTTTTTACACAAAGTTGTCAATTAAATTATATATTGCTCACGCATGCCATAGGTATATGTGGAATAACACCCCAAAACACATTCTGCTACCTCTCTCGAGTATGGGGATACCGCATGTGAGAGACTTTTGGCAGCCTAGCTACTAAACTTGTGGCAGAAAAATGAGATCTGCAAAATACTCACAATGCCCCTTAGGACATACCTTGAAAAGTTTACTTTTCCAAAAATCCTGCTGCTTGTTGAAGTCATCTAATTAGCAGCTAAGATTGTCTTTACATGAAAGACGACCGCTAGCTGAAAAAAAAAATCATCATCCTGGTATAACCACTCAAAGTCCAGCAATGTACCAGTACATTGCTGGTCCTTGTTGGGCATATACGTAACATCAGAGTACACGGGCATATGATGAATCGGGTCTGTGGAATTCATTCTTTTTTGTAATGCCCATGTTGAGGGTTAGGCCCAAAAAGTTTGAAATTCAGAAACTGTGATAAGTTTCAATGCAAATTGTCTGGCAATAGCCAAATTTGGGTGGGCAGTGATGTATTGTTGTGCGTATAAATTGCTTTGGACCACAATCAATTTATACAAATCCTTCATGAAAAACAGTGGAGGGGCTAAACATTAGTGCTGACAACGAATGGGGCTGGATCCTGCTAACACTGTGTTTTTGGGGACACTATATAAAGGAGGCACTAGTATAGTTCTGTTTGTGATCAGTATATTGATGTGTACAAACACTATACTAGTAATGGCGGTGATTAGTGAGCTATAGCATGAGTGCAATAGTGTGCGGGCAATCTAACGCTAACTGCCCCTTGCTGGGAGGGGAGCTTACAGTCTCTGACATTATCTGATGTCGCTAGTGGCAATAATACAGTGATCAGTGAAAAATTCTAGAAACATTACCGCACGATGCTTTGCCTAGAGCCAGTGGGCTCTACTTTAACCACTTGCCGCCCAGCCACTGTAGATATACGGCGGCAGGGCGGCACTCGCAGGCAAAACCACATTTTAAAACGTGTGTTTTGTAAACAAATAGGGGGCGCGCACGAGGCGCGCCGCCGCCCTATCTGTCCCGCCGATCACCACCGCAGATGTGAGTCGCCGGGTCACAGCCGGTCCTTAGCGGCTGTTTCCCAGCGATCGGCGGTAAACAGTGACAGAGAGCACAGCTGCAGTAGCTGTGCTGTCTGTCACTTCCCTGTCAGCTCGAGGATGAGCTGATCGAGAAAGAACAGTTTCTCTTTCTCGATCTCCCTTGTCCCGCCCCAGTACACACCCCTGCCCCCTAGTAAAACACTCCCCTCACTCCTATAACCATTCCCTGCAAAATAAAGTTAACCCCTTCCTCCCCATTGCCATTAGTACAGTGTCAGTGTTTTTTTTTTTTTTGCACTGATCACTGTATTAGTGTTTTTGGGGATGTCAGTGACCCCAAGTCAGTACCCCCCAATGTCATAATGTCCGTCGCAGTCCCGCAATCCCACCATAAGTCGCTGGTTGCTGCCATAAGTCCCTGATCACCGCCATAATTTGCTGATCGCCGCCATTATTAGTATAAAAAAAAAACCTAAAAATCCCAGTATCTTTCCCGCCATTTGTAAACGCTATAACTTTCACGTAAACCAATTAATTTACACGTATTGGGTTTTTTTTTAGCAAAGACATGTCGCAGAATGCATTTTGGCAGAAATTTATGACTAAATTTGATTTTTGCATTTTTTTTTACTGGACATGTTTTATAGCAAAAAGTCCAAAATATTGTTTTTTTTCCCTCAAAATTGTCAGCCTTTTTTTTATAGCGCAAAAAATAAAAACCGCACAGGCGATCAAATACCACCGAAAGAAAGCTCAATTTGTGGGGAAAAAAAGGATGTAAATTTCATTTATGTACCATATTGCAAGACCGCGCAATTGTCCGTTAAACTAGCGCAGCGCTGTATAGCAGAAAAATGGCGTAAATTGCAGTATTTATACCATAGTTTGTAGACGCTATAACTTCCACACAAAGCAATCAATATACACTTATTGGGATTTTGTTTACCAAAAACATGTAGCCGAATACATTTTGGCCTAAATTTATAACCAACTTTGAGTTTACTATATATTTTTTTATAGCTGAAAGTAAAAAATATTGTTTTTCTTCAAAATTTTTGGCCTTTTTTTGTTTATAGCGTGAAAAATAAAAAGCGCACAGGTGATCAAATTACACCGAACGAAAGCTCTATTTGTGTGAAAAAAAGGACGTAAATTTCGTTTGGGTGCAGCATTGCATGACCGCGCAATTATCAGTTGAATTAGTGCAGCACCGAGTAGCAAAAAGAGGTCTGGTCATTAAGGGAGGTAAATCCTCTGGAGCTCAAGTGGTTAATCAGAGCAGAACAATGTTAAATATTTGCATTGCAGGAGCAAAAAAGACTGTTGCACCTTCAATACAATGTTTGCTTTGAACTGTCATGAATGGGTTAAATTCATGACAGCTCAAAATACAGTGCTCTGTAATTGACACTAGCTGGTCACCTGGTACAGGATGCTGTGATTGGCCCCATGTATCATGTAAGAGCTGTGGGCCAATCACAGCTCACCAAGAAGAAAAGCAGAGCTGTTATATAATTGCAGAAATCCCACCAAAGATGGGATTTCTGCAATTGATCCTGGATGGTATTTGACTGTGTTTGGCCGATGGAGGCTATATAATAAAAAGCCTTTAATGATTTTGTGAACCATGAGTGACCTGGCAGTATTACTATAGATGTAAGAGGAGGTCATTAGCAATATCACACTATATGCAATATTTTCTTCTTTTGCACAATGGTGGAGCAGTTTTGGAGAAAGGAGGTGGAAGAATCATCCTAGTTTGGTGTGGTGGAATGGAGGTCTAGAGGCTATAAGAGGGGGTGTAGGATCCCTAAAAGTCCTAAAAGGCTTATTATTCGCCATTATCTGGTGAGTGCGATTAATGTTGGTTTTTTCACTGGTAGATGGTGGAAGCACTTATCACAGAAGGATAACCACAATACATATTTATTCGTGTTTGGTGAAGCACTCTGAAGTTGGAGAAAAGCTTTTTATATATTTTTTTATTTTTTATATATATATTTATTATATTTTTTATATATATATTTTTTGGACACATTAATTTTGGACACTTTAAATCAAAATATGAGTTTTTCACTTTATTTCTTTATCATGTGAAATTTGTTGGGTATTGTTTTGCGCTGTTTATTATATAATTTTTATGATTTGGTGTTTACACTAGTGCACAGCAGCATTTCAAATTTTAGGGGTGGGGATTGTTCTGTGGCGCAGGAGTATATATTTATATAGGAGGAATTTAGAACTCAGGATGTAACCTTGTAGAAAATCTGTATCACAATGTGTATTGTTGATCCTGTTTAGCAGTGTTTTTCCATGCGACAGAATTTATTAATGTCCCCCAAGGCCTCTCCACTGAAAACAATAAGGTCCCATTTACATCTGAACTTTGTGTAGCTCAAAACTCCACACCTACAAAAATAGTAAAAAATGCCTGTACAAATGTAAAAAAATCCTGTAAAAATGACCAAAGGTGCTCAGCTCAAGTATGAAAGCTCAAAGAAAATATCTACAAAGAATGTATTACAATGTACAGTATCTTCTTTGTATTTGTATGTATCTTCAGAAGAACCAGTAAAATCACTTCAAAAGGCAGTGCTGTGCCCAACACCGATGTTGAAGATACATTCACCAGAGGTAAATTACACTACTGTAGCACTATCCTCTTGAGAGCTTCTGGTTTTGGGTTCCCAGCCAGGCAACACACATTTTTCAGACACAAGAAACAGTTCATGGGCTTGGGTTTTTTTTTTGTTTTAGTAGGGAATTTAATTTGGATAGGGTATAGGGGTTATGGAATTTTCAATTTGATTGAACAAAATGAGGCCGTTTCCTGCTCTAGCACAAAAAAAACAACAAACACTTGACTGCATTCCAGCCAG